ATCGTCCTCTACATTTGTAGGTTTCTACAACAGGCAGTTGCTATCCATTTGAAACTTAGATTCATTATGAATACTTTGCCTAAACAACCTATCAAAGATTACCTAAAAAAGGATTTGTACATGGGCTAGACGAAATATGGTGTCACTCATATTATGTAGGATAAAATCATTGTAATAATTTTCTGTTTGTTGTTATTATCAAACTATAAAGCATTTGAAGTTGAAAATAGTTGTGTTGCCTATAAATCAGTGACAGTTTACAGTAATGGTTAGACATGATCTAATGAGATACTTTGGTGAATAGTAAATTTATTTACACAAAACCTAAACCTCAATGTGCTTTTTTCCACCTTACTAGTTCGAAAAGTAATTATAATGAATTATTGTATTATTATAAATACACAAGCTATCCTTAATATTTGTCACACAAATTAAAAATGTGCATACAGGCCTTGACTGTGACAACATGTAATAGACATATGTATATGTAAATAAACAATTAAAAGGTTTTATTAAATATTACCTTCATATTTTTTTAAATAGTGAGCAAATGTGTTTTTTTTTTCATATTATACATCCTGAATTAGAATTATTTGAACAAAAGATTGCCAACTAAAAAATTCAAGTCACAAAAACCTTGCTTGTTGAGATGCATTTTATTTTAAAAACTTCCACAGCCTAACTACTAACTTAGCTCTTATAGTGATAACTGGTTAATTCGTATGTTGTAAATTCTTCTATAAAGCATTTATGGTTTCTCCATTATTCCATTGTTTATGAAACTTCAGTGACGGGTCAACTTCTGTGAGCTAAAGAAAACTTCTTGAAGAATTTCTTGTGAACTTAACAGTTCCACAAGATAGATAATCTGTTCTTCTAGCTGTTATTCGTACACTATATAGGTTTTAAGCCTTTAACTTATGATACTATCTATGCAACCAGGAAAAACTAATAACTAGCTGTGTTTTTTAATCAGCATCTAAGTTGCTACAAATTCATAGTAGTAGAAATCTTGAAAAATTAGGCCTGGTGGTTAGGGTGTCGACATGTATCCTGCAGGTCAGAGGATCTAAATCAAATGCTACTCATATTCACCCTTTCAACTGTAGGGGTTTATAATGTGATGATTAATCCCACTGTTCTGTGGTAAAGAGTAAGCTGCTGGTGGGTGCTGCTGGTTGGTAGCCTTTCCTGTTCTTGGTAGTTCATAATTAGAAACATTGGTAGATAGCCTTATTAGCTTTGCTATAAAAAAGAAAAAAAACTTGGAAAATTAACAGACCAGCCAAATAATAACTGCTCCAAATCTATTACGTTTGCAAATAGATTTTTTTCTCTGGTAACTTGAACTGGAGTGGGGTCCATGTGGGCTATCTGTGCTGTGCCCACCATCGGTGTTAAAACCTAATTTATAAAGTTATAAGGCCACAAATTTACAGCTGTTCCACTGGGGGCATATAGACTGCAAACAAATACCGAATGGTTAAAAAAGGTTAGTTCAAAATGGACATGCTGCATTTAAGGAAAGATAGAAAAGAAAGCTAGTTACTTTAATGTCACAGCCAGAGTGAGTCAATTTAGGTCTTTGTATGTCCACTAGTGTTTTTTTTTGCAGCTGTTCCTTCTAAATTAACAATGGTTATATGCAGATAGCACTTCGTGTAGCTGTGTGTGAGAATTTAAAAATAATCTGTTCCACGAAGTAATACAACAATGAAATAAAACAGTAAATAGTTTTTGTGACTGGATGATGCTGCAGAAAGTAACACCTATGGCTGAACTGATACATGATCTTGATGGATTTAGCTTTTTGTTAATGAGATAACTTTAGAAAAAATACAAATATTTTATCATATAAAATTGAAATTAAGAGAGTAGGATAAAGGGTATTTGTGTCTGCTCTTCACTTGTTAGATACAACATCAGAAGATGTCTTTCTTTTATTGGGCTGGGCAATATTCATTGTATAGTTTGAATGTTGACTTAGTTGGTTGACATAAGATATTTCACTATTACCATTTTCGACAAGAAATTGGCTAAAACAGCAGTTTATTGTCAACTGATGTTAATAACTTTTTTTCAGTGGAGAATTGTGTGATTAGACTGTTTGAAGGTGAGAGCTGATATATATACACAATATTGCTGATATAGAGGATTAATTCTTTGGATTATAATGTCATCTGTCCTCTTCACCCTCTGTCTTGAAATATGGAGGAAGGGGGGAACAAATGGTTGCAATTGCCTTAAGCCCCACAGATCAAAGGGACCACCCCAACTAAGACAAAAATAAAAACAAATTACTAAGAAACTGGATGTCTCATTGAAAAATAGAAGCAAGTTTATTTGTACTATTTAATAAAGCAGACTAGAGCAATCCTGAATGAATATGCAGTAAAATATCAAAGAAGAAACACCTAAACACACAAGTATTAATGCAATTAACCCTTCTGACCATGTGTAGTTTAGTTCAAATTATTTTCTATAATATCACATACAAAAGTTCTGGAGCTCCATTACACTCATCTGTTGCTTTCTATAGCTTACAATGGATAGAGTCACCCATAAGGGATTACAAGTGTATCAGACTTAACTTCAGTCTTGAGAACCTCGTACGCTTCCATTCCCTTGGTATTAAATATAATACAGTTAGCCTAAGTTGAGGGCACACTGATCAGCCCGAGGGCTTACAACACTATAATTTGGGGTTTGATCCTTGTGGTGGAAACACTGCAAGTAGTACGTTGTGAAAATTTTCGATTAAACAAAAGCAAACAAATATGATGAGAATAGTAGCGTGTATATCATTCAAGTGCACGTACTTAAGAAGAGACTTTTTAAACATTATCTGCACCAAAACAGGCTCTTTAGTTTTTTAATACTAGTTGTATGTAAATAATGATTACACTTAGAATAAAAAGGAATTTGGTATGACCTATCCGTCAGTGTACTTGAATTGTGAATCTGAGTGTTCATGGTTTGCAAACAAAAAAAGTACTCCACTTTTTTAGCCCAAAAGGTTCGCTATGAAAATGACCGTCATATTGCATTATTCGGTCAAACAAGAGTAGCCCAAGAGTTGGTTGTAGGTGCTGTTGACTAGCTTCATTCTCTTTAGTGTACCTGTTGGAAATTAGGGATGACTTCATGAAGATAACCCGAACTTGTGTAGGTTTGTACGAGAAGTTAGGAAACAAACAAACAAAAGTTAGAATAAAATAAGAAGTTAGACCTACGAATAACACGATGGCAAACGTAGATTAATTTATACAAACTGAATATTGAATCATAATTAAATCCTGATAGTTGTTTACAACTCAACTCAAAACCGGTCTTTTATTCTCTGTTATTTACTGGCGAAAGGACACAGTTTTATCCCATCGGATTTGTTTTTGTTTCACAGAATGGCATAATACTCTTGGCATTTCTCTTTTTAAAATGTCGGATTCGGTTTTACTGGTACTTTTCGTTGCGAATTTAGGTGTATGATACACATATGCCTAGCATGGAATTCAACAAGTCTTATTTATTTATGCTTTTAGTAAAAAAATAAAACTTTACATTAATTCATATACTCTAATTTTATGTTAGAGCCTTCGAGGTTGCTAGGGCTGATGAAACCAACTGATATGACTTCCCATTTAAAAAAAAAAAAGAATATAAAAATAAATTGAGTTCACTCTCCAAATAACTACAGGATCCCCAATCCAAAATAAATGTAGTTGTTTATATACCAATTTATATCAAACGAAAATTCTCTTAAAATAAATTAGCTGCATGCACCACATCATCATGTTAACCATTAAACCAGTTTATAATTCTAACAAACAATTATTTTTGCCTAGGAACAAATGTAAGTTTGGATTTCCAAAGCTCATGCTTTTTAACCTCAAGTTCTTACTTCTAACTTTACCATACCACCACCAAAGCATATCTCGCATGGGTAGCTTATTGAAGTTCTAACAATTTCATATGAGTTATTTTCATATAACAGTTTCTTATGAGTATCCCTATAAACAATTATATAAATACTAAAATGCGTTTTCCACTTAATTATTCTTTCACTTAGACTGTTCATATTCTTCCGACTGAAAGAGACATCTTCATGAGTCCCAATGTTATCTAGAATCTTAAGGTCTTCGACATATAAATTGATACTTAAGCGGGCACCAAAATGAGTGATATAAATAATAAAAAATCATCCAAAAACAGACCACTGAGGGACCCTACAAGTGACATACTTCCAATTAAAATAATACCCATTTATCGCCGTCCTATGTTCTCTCTACAATAAAAACAGTCTTCTAATTCCTTTATTTTTTCAACACTGACAACAGTACCATGAAAGTTAACTTTAATTATATTATTAAACTTTTTTTTAAAATGGAACTTTAGCTAAATCATTCTGAAAACCTTTAAATCTCGAACTATCGGCTTGTTTTCATATACTTCAAAACCGATGAAGTCCACATTCGGCATCAAATTAACTAAAATGTTATGTTTTTTCGGTTACAAAGTAAAGGTAAAGAATTGAACAAAAATTGCTGAAATCATTCATTTTCTGTGTAAAATACATACGGGACCTGAATAATAATTACTGGAATTAATTGTACGTATAACATCAATGGTATTTTTTATGTATAAGATATAACTGACTTTATCCTAAAATACTGAAACCTTAAAAGCCGTCGCTAACATGTATGAGACAAAGGGAAGCTGGGCCTAACAAATATGTGGGATCAAAACCTAATGGCTCGGCATGGCCAGGTGGTTAGGGCACTCGACTCGCAATCTGAGGGTCGCAGGTTTGAATCCCCATCCCACCAAACATGCTCGCCCTTTCAGACGTGGGGGTGTTATAAGTTACAGTCAATCCCACTATTCGTTGGTAAAAGAGTAACCCAAGAGTTGGCGGTTGGTGGTGATGACTAGCTGCCTTCCCTCTAGTCTTACACTGCTAAATTAGGGACGGCTAGCGCAGATAGCCCTTGTGTAGCTTTGTGGGAAATTCAAAACAAACAAAACCTAGCGCTGAATATGCTCCTCTCTTTCAACCGTGGGGTGTTATAATATTGTTACGCCTCCAGTCATTAGTTAATTTTCCGTAAATTCGTTCCGACGAAACTTTAGCGACACAAGTCCTTTCTTAAATCAAACTGGTTTATTCTTTCTGAATATAACTTTACGATACACTTAATTTCAACAGTCGCTCTATAACAACGCTATGTCTCACGTGGCCAACAATACATTCAATCTATAAAGTTTTTGAAGTGGCGTTTTGTGATATCCGGAGTTGTGATAAATGTTGAATAGAATCACACCAGTCTGCATTAATTAAAGTTTAATTATAATTCAGTTCCTAGATGAATTTTAAAGAAGGTG